TTTAGGCAATGGGATGTTAAGTTTTTCTAGAAGACCCTTCACATCTAAATTAAAGCATTGGTTTAGTATGGCTTTAAAAAGCTAACTGTATGTTGAAAAGCAAATTTAGCAAGCTGACTCAGGTGTGATAAACAAGGGTCCAAGACATTAAAACCAAAAGGACTGCTGTATAACATCCTTGATTGCCTCCATGGGAGGTTATTGGTTCATCAGGTAGGTTTATATTCATCATTCTTTACTCAGGTTAACTTTTTCTGATATAAACATTTGCTGGGGATCTTGAATATTTAAATCGATAAAAAAAAAAAACTTATAAGTTGTATGTTGCAAAATCCTTTTTTTGTTATAGCAAAGTGCAAAAAGAACAAATAATAAACTAGATTTTTACAAAAGAAGGATTAAATTACTATTTAGAAAAAGTGAAACCTTATTTGTAAAGGCCTGGAAATAGAGCAGTAGTTGACTGTAGAGCAATGAGTGCGTAACTTCTCACCATTATCCAACAGTAGTTCTGTGAAAGAAAACCTCCCTGCTTGTCCGTACTTTGATCATACAGCTGCCCTAATGCTGTATAGAAAAATATGTGTGGAAACTAGGCTAACACTCTGGCTCTGCAGTCCCTCATGGCCCAGTGGGGGATCCACTGATGCCCACCTCTTTCAGGACTGGGATAGCTTGCAATTCAGCAGGATATTAAATATTCAGTCTCCTTCCTCCGGGGCTTATGGGAGAGATGCCTGGAGCTAATTACTGAACTGGGAGTGCGTATGTAAGTGTGCAATGCATGGGTGTTTATGTTTGGTGGAGATGCAGTGTGTTTCAGGTTTTAGTTGAAGACGTATCTACAGTTTTTTGCCAAAGGATGATTGGGCAGGCAGCTTCTGCGTCTAATATTCTGAGTCAATGAGGAATAACTAACCATCAACAACACTAGGTCTTTAGTTTTAACTTTGGCTGTGTTACATAAAGACTTTTTGTTATTCTTTCATACAGTTTTTAAACTGGGCCTTTAGCAAAATCTGAAATAGGGGCCCACTATCAGACCCATAAGCCATCACTTTCATTGTTTGGAAATAAGCCAGCAGTCACTTGACACAAGTACATAACCAATAGTAAATTAGTAGATTAAGGAGGTGTGAATATAACAGTTTTCCTTGATATGCAACTGTTTATTAATGTTAAGTGAGATTATTTTACAGAAGCAGACTAAATCTAATGGGAGTACAGTACAAACATAACCAGTACAAACAGGTTACCTACCATTAAAGAATTAGATAAGACAACATTAAATCTAGTAGTTTTACTCAGTGTGAACACAACCAGTACATTTGAATATCTTTAAAGTCCTAACTTATTGTTTAGAATATAATAAAAAAAAAAAAACTAAACAAAGTAAAACATATGTTTCTTCTTCATAATAGTATTTACACATCTCAAGTTTGAGATCTGCATTTTTCTCGTCAACAAAAGCACATGCTGGCCAGATAAGATGCTAATTTATATCATTATTTTGTTGCACAGTTAGTACTCTGATAAGATGTGTACACATATACTTATGACAATCATAGAAAAGAAGTTTATGATTCCATTGCACTGAAATGTGTACAACTTCAAAAAATGTTTTAAAAGCAGAACAGGGTGTACTCATTTTATTTAAATGCATATTGTCTTTGAAACAGCCAGGGTCCGAGTTATATACATGCAACATTAAACATATAAATTTCTCTCTGCATGTTGCATTGAAATAACACATTTTGGAGCATTTTAAAGCTCCTTATACCATTCTTTCTGAGTGTTTGACAAATTTTCTTCTCAAAATATAAGAGCTCAGGTTACTTTGGAGGTTTTCTGAATGTGTAAAGGATACATCTCAGCCTTTTTATTCATCCTAAACCAGTTTTATGTGTGTTTGGGATCTTTGTGCTGTTAAGATTTGAATGGCTACTTATTCATTTAAGGCACATGTGCTGAACTCAAGGTCACAGCAATTTATCTGCCCCTCAAGAGCCGAAAAGTCATATCATGCCATATAGGTATGTGTCCTTATAAAGTGTACAAAGTGGCTAAAATTGTAACATAAAATGGAGGGAAGTAATGATACCAAAGCTGTTTGCCCTTTCTAAATGAAATGGTCATATAAAAAAAGGTAATTTATACAGCTGCAAACATCCCTTTTAAGGCAATTTCTACCACTATCTCAGCTTCTCAGACCGTTGGTTTAGTGTTATTAGGTTTGAAGGCCTTACATTTACTCCTTTAAATATTCTTTCTTGTCATTTTGGCTGAACAACTAATTCAGTTTCTTCTGACTATAAAAATTTTCTCAGCTGCAGATATAATCCTTGCTTAAAGTTTTCACCTGCAGAGCATGCAGTGCTTTTTTAGCAATATGTCTCCAAGCTGCATAGACTTTCAACTTATTTCAGTGGGAACAATCACTGTATTGCTCAAGTAACTTGTGGCTTTGCCATTTTGGTTTCTGGGTTGTTATTGAACATCCATCCATCCATTATCTGACACGCTTGTCCCAATTGTCCCAGGTGCTGGTGCTGGTGCCTATCTCCAGCTGTCTATGGGAGAGAGGCGAGGTACACCCTGGACAGGTCGCCAGTCCATCGCAGGGCAACACAGAGACAAACAACTATTCACACACACACTCACACCTAAGGAGAATTTAGAGAATCCAATTAACCTAACAGACATCTTTTTGGACTATGGGAGGAAGCTGGAGTACCCGGAGAGAACCCACGCATGCTCAGGGAGAACATGCAAACTCCATGCAGAAATACCCCGGGCCGAGAATCGAACCCAGAACCTTCTTGCTGCAAGGCAGCAGTGCTACCTGCGCAACTGAGCTGCCTTGTTATCGAACATTCCGATTTAATTTCTTTTATCTGTTTATGGAAAGTTGGTTCATGGTAAAACAGTGCTAAATGCCACACAAACATCTAAGTGTAGACTGATTTAATGGTCAAGGAATGAAAATGAACAGGATCCTCCTGGAAATATAGGAAATATGCCTAAAAGTTGAGTCTTAGTTAAAAAAACAACCAATTTAAAACATACAATTTCTGATAAGAGGTGTACCCAAGCATTCAGTAATATGCCAAAATAATGTTGATCAACAAAGAAGTGTCTGGTTCTTTATATCTGAATAACATTTCCCTTGTAGAAATATTAACATTGAAGTAATAAACATTTCAGCCTTTAAGAATAAGTTAAACATATCAAGAATTAGTAAACCTAGCTATTGTTTTTGCTGAAGTTTTTTTTTATGTATATTCATTCAGTTCAGAAAAAATTGTTCAGATGTGTTAAAAAACCTTTCTGACAATTATGTAATATAAGCCAGTAATAGAAACTGTTGATTGGAAGTATAGGCTAAGAAGAAATTCAAATGCATTTACCAAAAAAACCCTCAATTATGCTACTTTCCTCTCGTAAATGTCCTTGAACTGTGTGTCCCTGTTGAATCCTTCTTTTTGTCTGAGCATTCGCCACTAGCTGGGTTGGTTTTCTTAAATATCTTGTTTGCCTGACCCGTCATCTAAATACTGGGACAGAGGTGGAAAAAGTGACCAGGAGAAGGTAGTCGTGCGTGTATTCCCTTTACACAAGACGTTACCGTTTAGTTCCAATCCTGTCTGTTATATTCAGCATGATTCATTAATGTCTCTGCAGCCTGAACAGAGATAAGCCTTCATCTGATGAGTGTATTTTTCCACAGCACAGTGCAGTTCAGAACGGGGCTCTGTACTGTTTACTTTAAATTAGTGCGCATTCACTACAGTGCTTTCCTACCTCTTCAGACCTTTTACATCTAATGAACAAGTAGATCCTAAATTTGTTAAAAGTATTGCAAGTAGTGATGCTGCCCTTTACTTGTGACTGCAAACAACGATTTGTTTTTTTTATTTTGACGGATCCAAAAATTACTGTTGTTTCGATGAGAGCTTAAGTTTTTTGCATCGCTTAAATGAACAACTATCCCTCCCTCCTCTCTTTTTATCCTCTCTATCTTAGTGTTTCTTTGCTCTTAGTCCCCTCCATCTCTTCAAAGGCCAAGGTTGGTGTTCAAGCAGTCACCTGTCAGCATTAATTAAAGCTTATGAAGGCTGACCAGTACCAGAGAATAATCCTACTCACAGCAGTTGCCTGGGACACAGCCTCCATGGTGACCTTGTGTTGGATTTCACACCGATTGTGGGACAGAAATAATAGGTGATAATAGGTGTGGCACAGCCGTACAGCCACAACTGTGTGCAGCCGTGCTAATCCCAGGCACTGCGGCCAAACCCCGTTGTACTCAGCAGATTAGATCATTAGCTGGCCACTAAAATATCCAGAGGTTCTCATAAGTATGCAACTTTCCAGGGAGTTTTGTATTTTTCAGCTTTAAGGGTAAAGAGAAAGGGAAGAACTTTGCTGCGACAAACTTTCTCACATTAATACAATGAGAATCATTAAAGGAAAGTGTGGCCAAACCAGTGATAGCTCAGAACTTGATTATCTTGAAAATATTCATATAAAGGGTCCAAAGTTAAGTGGGTTTATAAAACATCAAATACACATCTTTGGTCAGGATATTCCAGCAGAAGGAACTGAACCAGGTTTTACTTTGAATCAGAGTTTCTCACGGGAGTTACCTTTATTTGACACCGCTGAAGCTCTATGTGCACCACTTTGTGGAGCTACAGTAAATGACTTTGAGTATGTACTTCAGGGGTAGAGTTAATTTTAGTCATTGTTATCATATTAAATGGTTGTTTTTTTCCTTTAAAAACTGAAAGAACCAAAAATGCTAAATATAACCATTATTGATTCAAAGCTTATTCATTTTTAAAACAGTATTTAAGAACTTTAATTTTTGCCTAAATTTTGCCTCCCACCAGTGGACAAAAGCTGTATTGTTTTTCCAGAAGGAAGACAGCATTTCACATGAGGACCAGCTTGGTGAAATCCTGATCTCCGTTCTAATAGGTTTTTCCTCTTTTTTTCAGATCCTTGCAATCATCTCCATCCTCTTCATTGTGCTGTCTACAATTGCCTTGTCTCTGAACACCCTCCCAGAATTACAGGACACAGATGAGTTTGGCCAGCCCACAGACAACCCACAGCTGGCTCACGTGGAAGCTGTTTGTATTGCCTGGTTCACCATGGAATACCTCCTCCGCTTCCTCTCTTCTCCAAGCAAATGGAAGTTCTTCAAAGGCCCCCTGAACATTATCGACTTATTGGCCATTCTGCCCTATTATGTCACCATCTTCCTCACAGAGTCCAACAAGAGTGTGTTGCAGTTCCAGAATGTTCGGCGTGTGGTCCAGATATTTCGGATCATGCGGATCTTGCGAATCCTGAAACTAGCCCGGCACTCCACAGGTCTTCAGTCTTTGGGCTTCACTCTCAGAAGGAGCTACAATGAGCTGGGCCTGCTTATCCTTTTTCTTGCCATGGGAATTATGATCTTCTCAAGTTTGGTTTTCTTTGCTGAGAAGGATGAAGAGGACACCAAATTCAAAAGCATTCCTGCCTCCTTCTGGTGGGCTACGATTACTATGACAACTGTAGGTTATGGAGACATTTACCCAAAAACTTTGCTGGGAAAGATAGTCGGAGGTTTGTGTTGCATTGCAGGCGTCTTGGTAATAGCCTTACCCATCCCTATTATCGTGAATAACTTCTCTGAGTTCTACAAAGAGCAGAAAAGGCAGGAGAAAGCCATCAAAAGGCGAGAGGCTCTGGAGAGGGCTAAGAGAAATGGTAGCATTGTCTCTATGAACATTAAGGATGCATTTGGACGTAGTGTGGAACTAATGGATGTTATGGTGGAAAAAACTGAGGAGCGAAAGGAGAAGCTTCATGACAATCACATATCTCCGCATAGAGGAACACCCAGGATCAAATCGCCACTCAACCCCAGTAGCCCCAATAAGACAATTGAGTCAAGCTACCAAGAAAAGGCTAAACCAGCTGGCAGTCCTCAGCACCTCAGCGCACAGACACTTGAGGAGTTGTACAACAAAATGACAAGGGCACAGTTACAAGCTAACGCCAACAGCAAAGAAAAGGCTGGACATTCAAAATCAGCCAGGCAGAAAGCTGAATTTGAGATGGGAAGCATAACAACAGAAGCCATCCCAGGCACAACAGAGGCAGTGACAGACATGAAGAGCATTTCCAGCGTTGACAGCTTCATCAGTTGCGGCCCCGATTTACCCGAAAGCTCTAGATTTTCGCATGGCTCCAGCACCAACATGCCTGGAAGGGTCAGTACCAACCCCAGCCTGGAGCCCACCCTGGAGAATGAGCATGAAGGATTACATGGCACTGCCAGCCCTGTGTTTAGCCAAAGCACCAAGCTCAACAGGGACAGCCCAAGAGGTCCACCTCTGAACAATCCGCTTAAGGGCCGCTCACTAAAAGTTAGTGTCAGAGGTGTGGAGGACTCAGGGAAAGGAGGTCTCTCAGACAGCTCATCGGTTCAGAGCCCAGAGACATCCGTCTACACCACTGCCAGCAGCAGGACACCAAGCAAGAGCCCAGAGAACTTGCGGCCGAGCGTCTTCACATTCCACGATGCCTCTGTCAGTAAGTTCATCGACGCTGACACGGATGAAGAGGAGCACCTGCACGACAGTTCGGCAGCCAACGTGACCCAAAGACTTTTGGAGGGGGCGAGCCCCAGGTTTGGGCACCTTTCTGGTTTTCAGCAGGGTCCCAACCATATGGAGGGCCTCTCAAACAAGTTGGGGAACAGCAGCCTGCCACTAGAGGGGCAGGAGAACCACATTTCACCAGAGCTGCAGCTGCTTCAGGGGGAGAAGCATCAGTTTAACTCTTAGAGTCAAATAGGCTTGCACAAGGAATATGAAGAAGAGGGAGAGATGAGAGACCTAAATTGAGAATTTCAGAGACTTGTCTGGGAGCAATTTTGCGGGGAGACTGAAAGAAAAAGGCTTTCCTGCAAAAATACAACTGCTGTGGATTACTGGAAATAGTTGTATCTTCTAAACACTCATTAAAAAACAACAATCAATTGTGCACTCAGAGTGAAATAAAAGGAGGGATTTTTTACTATTTATACAAGCCCAAATAAGGTAATCATTACACTAGCCTCAAGAGTCTAGTCTATCATTTTTTATAACCCACTTTTTCTGAAAGCCCTGGATACAACGTTGAAGCCACAGCAGCAGATACTGTCAAGTCTTTAGTGAAGCATAAAGGGCACTGAAACAAGGCACAATAAGAGGAGGTCTTTCAAAATCCTTCATTGCAGTATGAAAGGAAGACACCCATCTTCTTTTCCTACAGTATTTATATTCAGTATATGTCCCAAAGGCAGAGGGTTGAGGGCAGGTTTTTGCTTCCTACGACTTCCTTCAAATCTGGCCTTAGTTCATGTTGTCCTGTGTTTTGCGTTTGGGTGGAAAGAAGGAAGCCTGAGGCAGGCTACCAGACAGAACATAAATATCTGGATATGTGTGTGTGCAATAACTACCTTTCACTTAGGTTAATTATGTAGCAATAGTGCTCTTTTATCTGACATCAAATCTTCAGCAGAATCAAGTGTTTCAGTCTGTTTCTTTTAAGCGGCTCAGTGTCTCTCCTGGGTTGGCGTTTTTACTGCACAGGTTTCACATAAACGCAGCAGAATGACACTGTGAGGTCCCTCCTTTTCTCTCTTGTCCCCATTTTGCCCCAGAGCTGGCGTCTTTTGAAAATGATTCCAAGTAAAGCTGTTGTGCTTTTGCTCTTCTTGTTATATAACCAGTGGCAGTTTTTAATATAGGAAATAAGGCCTTCTACCCAGGGCGGTACGCCACAGGGGGAGGACCACAGGGCAAAGAACAGAAAGCTGTTTGTCAGCTGTGCATCAAACAGCTGGCTCATTTGCAAACCCATTGAATGGGAATCTGTGCCTCCCTGTGGTGTGAAGACCGTAAGCACTGAAAGATTATATTGTTGTACACTGTTATGATAGTAAAGTTGATTTTGAATTTTTAGCTCATGATTTGGTACTAAGAGGAATCTGGACTGCATGGTCAGCCCTTATCTGGATCATTCTTTACCAAGCAGAGTTTTTAAAAAATACAAATTAGAGATTTATGAACCATAAATAGCTATCGTCTGTTAAAAAAGAAAGAAAAAAAAGAAAACAGAAGTAAAAAACCAAAAAAAAAAAACATAATTTTAATGCTTTCTTAGTAATACGACCACATTAAACTGAGACAAGTTTACAAAGCACAAGATGTAGACTGGTTAAACCAAGGATGGATTTTGTTAAACTGATTACAGATGCTTTAAATCTTGTCCATTATTCTCAATTAAATACTAGTTTAATATTTACAGTTCTTACTATCGCTGAGAGTTAGATAACCAAACATAATTCTTGCTGAATGGGCTTTGTCAGGGGTATTGGTGTGTGTTTAGTTTTGATAGGTTGGCAGAAGGGGGGCTCGCCCAGGGCACCATTCACACAGGAGCTGCCACTACTTAAACCTTTGTTCTGAATGCCTGAATGCGTCCTTCAGATTAGGTTTAATTTATCTATCAAATAATAATTCTTTTTGAATTTGTGTTCAAAGCAATTGTAGCAGCTGAAGTGAGCTTTGCATTGAACAAGTGGGGTAAGCAGTGAGAAATCCAGTTATGTATGAGACTAAATACTGCAAAGCATCGCTGCAAAGTCAGACTCTACCAAAACATTGCACATCACCTGTCAAATAAAAAAAAAGTTATTTATATTTTTAAGATATTTTCTAAAATGACTGACATGTTACGTAATGTCATATTTGTTTTAATTCAAAGCACTGTATGTACTGTTTCTATGAAGGAGTGGCTTCTGTTAGACAATGTTCAGCAGTAGATGATTTATAATGTTTGCTACCCTCTCCCTGTAAATGCTTGTTGCAGTCCTTTTGTGTGCAATGTAAAGAACCAAAGACTTGTTCTTTCTAATGATATATACTGAGAAGTGTACATTTTGATGTATCATCTAAAATTGTTAAAGCATTCCTTTTAAAAAAAAACATACATTCTGACTCATTTCAGGGAGCCCTGATGGTTCATTTAGGGCAAACATTTAAGTAGGAGAATATCCTAGCATCTAAACAATACTGCTTTTAGAAAACAAGATTTGTTTTATGCTTTTGAAAGGTCAATCCCTTTTAGAAATTAGAAATATCTCTATTTTCTGAGCATTTTACAGCCAGCAGTTTCCTCGAATGTTATGTATGCATTTTGCTCTTTTTAAGGCACCTAACAGAAAATACCAAACCTGGCACTCTTACACTTGTTTTATTTTGTTCATTAACTTAACATGTCTTGCAAGGTTGGATGAAAGCAGGTTTTGCAGGAAAAATTTATTTATGCTGGACCTATTTCATGTAGATGCATAGATCAAGTAGTGGTACACATGTGTTGGTCAACCTAGTAAAGATGTGTAAAAGGTTTAAAATTAATCAATTTACACTACCATGTTCTCACATTAAACTAGAAAAATACCTTTAATCTAAGTGCATTGATTCAAATTTTAAAAAATCATATGCTGACACAACTGTACACATTTAGAGGATACAGCAAGTAATCTTAAACCACCTACTTTTGCAAAATTTCTCCATCTCGTCTCTTCAGCTCTCTGAACCATTGATATCTCTGACTGGAAGATCTTTTGTGATCTGATTGTAGATTTTGGATCACTGCTGTGGTGAAAGAGACACTGAGGGTATTTCATTTTTGCCTTGCAGAGGCCAACAGATCTGTAACTAAAATATCCTTCTGTTTAATTAAAATGAATGATTCCACACACTGAAATAGGGTTTTCATAACCTTTTGGAAAGACAGGCCCACAGTATTACAGATCCTCCAACGTGCTTGACAATTGGGTATGAGAAGCTTAGCCAAGTATTCGCCTTTTTGTTTTCATACCTGTCAAGTTTTGGATTTGAAAAATTCAGGAAATTTTCCTGAATCCTCTGCCGTCTGTCTGACTGCCCCAGACAAGCTCCAGTATCTATTATACTTTAAAACATGCACAAGAAATCTAAAATAAACCCTTGTCAACTTGACTTGTGATGCTAGGGGCAGTTTGTTTGGAGAGGTATGTATACAGCTACCTATGAGTGGTGCAAAGATGAACACAGTTTCTCCTTCTGTCATGTAATCAAAAGCTAATAGAAACATACTAAGAAACTCAATACGCAATACTTATTGATTTTTCAAAGGTTCCTTTTAGAGCCAGCCCACTCCATAAGCAAACTAAAGCCTTTGTCAAGGGATCCTGGTATTTGATTATTTCTTAATATTTATTTGCCATGGTTAGGTTTATTTCTAAACCTAACCGTTAGCTAAATAGCTTGTGAGGACCAACAAAATGTCCTCACTTTGCAACAACTGGTCCTCAATCTGATGGTGAAATTGGAAAAATGGTCCCCACTCTAATCGCTAGACAGGTACACACACAAACACAAACAAATTCGACTACGTTCAGGATTGAATTACTCTTTTCTAAAAATCCAATGTGATTTTGCTGCTACATTGAAATAGAAATCTAATTTTAGCTATTTTACACATCTTCGTTGTAGGGGTGCCAACAAATTGTCCTGGCTCTGTAGTCTGAGTTAGATGTTTCTGTGCCTTTGCTTTTAATGAAAAATCATTCACACTCATTCTGGATTAATGGAGTCTAAAAAAAAAGAGCAAATGAACAAAATGAGTACCCATCCTGTCAAGCTTTTATATTTGATACTGAAAGTTGTGTCTTGTGCACCAAACATTTGAATGGAAAAGCCCAGAAACCCAAACAGGTGTAGACTGGCTCTCAGAAGAGTAAACAGTTTCCATGGTGAGGGGCTGAAATGACTGGATGGCTCACATTTGATGCACGCACGTAGCCTAATTACTAGAGAATGGGTGCAGACTTTGTCTTAATTCATTTATTCATCTCAGTTGTGTCTTCAGTCTGGGGGACGGAACAGAAAACTGGATTGTAAGACTTTCTCGGTCACTGTCACTTCATCGGTTTATGTCACTAAGTTTCTCTCTCACGGAAACAAGCACACATCTCAGCAGATCACAAAGGAGCAGAGAGAGCATGACCACATGGAGCTGAGTGTAAAGCGGTGCTTAAGGGATGTGTATGAAGACTTCAGCCAACTTCTTCCTGAAGAGAGGGAGAGAGTGTGAAATGTGAACGGACTGGAAACAAGGACTGTTGGACAGACTGAGCTGTGCTGCTTCAGTCATCAGCTTGATTTAAACTGACATCCTGAATGATGGCTGTAGCACTCTGCTCTCCAAAGGCATAAGTAACCTTTGCTTTGAAAAAGAGTGTTATCATACAGCTTCAACTTTCTCATTATAACCTTCATGTATTTCATGTGGAGCTTATGTGTTGGAAAGCATATTGTCATGAGGTGGAAGGCAAGCTATGCTTTTTCAAAATGTTTGTGTATACTGTGTTCTTTACTTCAATACATTGAAAGACAAAGTACCACAACACTACGTAGTAACACTACGGAGGAAACTAATTTCAGGCACTTGTATCCGGGATCTCATTCTTTCGGTCATGACCCAAAGCTCATGACCATAGATGAGGGTAGGAACGTAGATCGACCACCAGCTTCACAGCAGACCCTGCACCTATCTGCTTGTCTAACTCCTGCTCCATCTTCCCATCATTCGTGAAAGAGACCCCAAGATACTGAATCTCCTCCACTAGGGTCAGTACATCCCTCCCGGTGTTCAAGTCAGATCATCCAAAATTCATTGATACGCTCAACATGCAGAGCAATGTTTGCTCCTGCAGAATGACATCACCCTTCACTTGATTAAGAAAATCCTGTCAAAGGATGCAAAGGATTTCCCTGTTTTGTTGGTTCACCATACCGCACAAAATTACCTTAAACATACTGTAAAAACAAGATATGCAATGTAAGGGTTTAGATCAATATTTATGAGTGAGAACAACCCAGTCATTGTCCAGGATTTCTATAATGAATCTTAAAAAGTGATATTCTTCAATGTTTTCCATCCAGTATTACCTGTCTTTAGCTTATGGCTTTAATTGCAGTGAGGGATGGTTCTCATAGAATCAGTAATGTGTCAGAGACTCTGAATAAACCTCTTAAATTTTTGTTTTAAATTATTTTTTTTAGAAACATGTTTTATGTTCTTTCCACTTCACAAACATTCTCCATTCCGTGTGGAATAAGTCTGTGGTCTCAATGTGATCAGTGTTACAACATTTTCAAGGTTCTGAATTAATTTGAATTGCAAGCTGCACTCGCTTCTAACAAATCTGTTTGTGCTTGAGAATTAAGCATTCTTCACACAAAATGAGCTCAGTTACAACCAGGGTCATGAACACACCTCTCACAGTGAGCATTTCTGACAATCATCCAGCAATGAGCTCCAACCCAGAGTTCATTCTGTTGTTTTGTTTCTCCATAATGACAGAGCAAAGACAGGTTGCAGCATCCTTCTGGGGATGGGTTCACATCTCTAAGTCTATAAATATCCCCCTGGCCATGCACAGGGTTTCGCCCTGCAGGAAGGGCTCAGTTACAGAAATGTTTTCAACACGACGGTGTTATGCATTTCAGAGCAGCATATTTTGTAACTAAATACCCAAGAAATAAGAAAAAGGCAAGGTGTCGTATGGAGGCCTGTTGGATAATATAGTTTATTTTAGGCAGTCCAGCATTTAGCAATGCATAGTAATGGAATAAAAATGTCAAATGGTCATATGACTTTCTGTACAAGAAGTGTTGGAGTCAGAGGTGAAGATAGAAAACAGGACAGGTGTGCAACATGCTGAAGGATCAGGGATCATTAGCATTCATCACAGTCAGACATGCAGTAAATTACAAGTCCTCAAAAACGAGCCTCTAATTGTTGCTGAATCTCTTGCAAACAAGCCATAGTCTATCAAGATGCCGCTGCTTTCTGTGCTGGAAGAAAGTAAGCTATTTTTTCATAGCTCTTTGCATTTTCTTTAATATCTCCCAAACTGCAACGTGTTAAGGGAAATCCGCTGTTTTAATAATCAAATTATTAAAGTACAGTTTGTCACACACAAAAGCAGACAAATAGTCCCTTGATCATCCAGCTCCTTCAGGGAAACAATCACTGTTCCTGAAGGTGTATGGCTCTCTGTGTGCTGCCCTCTTGATTGGGGTGGAGGGGGTTGTTTTGTAAAGGTTTTGAACTTTGTACCTGTTGAGTTAGTAGAGGAATATGTTTGTGCTTTCCCAGTTTTCTTCAACACATGTAGCACTATAAGACTTTTACACAAAGAACTTGTAAATATCATCAAAAAAGCTGTAGGAAAAAGATTTTCAAGCCTGTTTCTTCTTTTACCAACTGATGCTTAATAAAAGAAGATAAACTAGTCATGGTGTCTCATTGTTGCCACAGTAAAATCTGATTTCTTCTGATTGCATACAAAGATCTGACAGGAAGGCCAAGAAAGTCAGATTGTATGGAACTCTTGCCAAACAGCGCCCTCTGGTGATTAATTTGAAAGATGTATGAACTTGAATATTCACCAGTAAAGGGCCACAATTGGCTCCACTACTTCCTGAGTTTAAGGCAGCACCTTTGTTTTCTGTCTTTCATTACTGGATTAACTTAAACCAGGTGTGTCTGGCCATTGTCGTCAAGGTTACTGAGGTCAGGCACACCTGGATTAATCAATTCATCCAGTAATGAAAGACGGTAAACAAAGTAGCTGGGTGAAGTTCAGAAAGTAGTGGAGTCGTGCATAGATCCCATAACACAAATTGGCCTGTAAACAATTATGTATTAATGTCATGACTATAAAAGAATAAAAATGTATACCACATAATATATATATATACTTGAATGTAAAATAAAAAAAAATGTGAATTTGTGATAGGCGTGAAGCGTAAAAATATTATTGCATTATTAATTCTACCTAATTATTTTAAAGCCATCCAATGTTTTAAATACATTTAGCATTAATAATCATCTATGATATATTTGTATTGCTTTATACAATATGAGTGGGCTGTAGCTGCATAAAGATCGACATACATGTTAACCAATCATACATTAATTTAGGAGCCTCAGTGACAGTTTGTATAATTCTGTTATGTGAATATACATTTATATACACACTGAACACCTCATCCAACAGCAAATAAACTACTCAGTAATTCTGCCTCAGTTTTCTAGTTTTTCAGGTGCTTTCATTTTATTGTAGGCGGGTACTTGAACCAAATCTGAATAATGTGAAATAAATAAATAATGCACACATCCACCCAGCCATCCATCTTCTCCAGCTTATTCCGTCATGATCGCAGTGGGTTCAGTGCCTGTTACCAACAGTCTATGGGTGAATAGCAGGGTACACCTTGGATAGTTCCTCACTCCATGCATAATCCCTTTTGGGTAATGAAATTATATAAAAATATTTGTGTTCTTTTTAATCATTATTGTTTTTCTATTGTTCTTTTCAGATGTTAGGAGTAAACTACCATTTCTTAATAAAGCATAATATTTTTACATTAAGCTTTGTAGAACATTACAATCAACTCTTTATCGAACACTTAAAGTCATTTGTTTTATTGAGAGCATAACAAGACCTTTTTACCTTTTTAACATAAAAAAACGTCATTAAAAAAAAGTTCAATGCAATTACCAAAACAGTAACTTGTCCTAATATATATATATATAAAAAAAACATTACTACTATAAGAAATTTGAAAAAAAAAAAAAAAAAAAACTTACAGAAAGAAACACTGTTTTTTTTATATGACCCAACCCTCAGAACATTAATGTTGACACATGACCTTGATTTTCTTTGTTTTTTGTTTTTTTTTACCTAGCATATTAACTTTTTCAATTAGCTTTTTAACTTTTAGAATAGAATAGAATAGAATAGAATAGAATAGAATAGAATAGAAAATCCTTTTATTGTCCCAAAATTGGGAACTTTAGTTGTAACAGTAGCAAAGTAACAGGCAATGTAAAAGGTTCACATAGGTATACAGTAGGCATTGAAAAGTGCATATATATANTATATAAGATAAAATTGAAAAAAGATTAACAATAGAAGTTTAAATAGTGTACAGTAAGAGCAAAAAGATGTTTTAAATATATATAAAGTGCAGTCAGAAAAAGAAGGTTAAATAACCAATAAACTATATAAATAGCAGCATCAGTAAATATAAGGAAAATGTTGGCAGCATGTTATTTAAAGTGACTGAGAAAGTGCAAAAAAGATCTTGACTCTAACAAAATTTGAGCTTGTTGGGAGCAGTGTTGGTTATAAATTATCATTTACTTAGCTTTTTACATTTTTATCTTAATTTTGCCTTTTTGGCTGCAAATGACATATTTTTATCCAATATACCAAAACTTGTTACTTCGAAAAAAATAGAGTTAGTTAAAGATAATTTTCTTTGTGCCTTTTCTCATGAGAGACAAACACTTTTAAAATCCTTTAAGGAAGAGCAACAGCGAAAGCATTTATAAAACGTCTGTAAACAATGGTACAAAGTCTTCAATGCAATCTAGAGAAGTGAGGAATTGCTTGTTAAAAACAGTGTTAAATCAAGGGTTTAAAAACAAGGGTTTAGACACATGCTAAGCAGTTTAGCAACATGACATTTTGCACAGGACGGGATAATCCAACTCACACTCAGGATCAGGAATAGTTTTCTTTTCTGGAGGATTTAAATGTCTAAGTAAAATGTTACACGGTTACAAATTGATCCAGAAATCTGTGATCTCTCTGCATTTGGTAGCAGTATGGGAACACAGACTGGGTTTTACTGGGATTTTATGAAATAAAATAAAAAAAATTTGAGACTTGATTTAACTTTTCTACAATAAAAACAGTTTTTTTTTATTGTAGAATGTCCGTTAAGAAAAATACTTCTTGTGATGGAGAAGTGGAGGTCCAAGTTATTTTTCCCCACACAATGCCAAACTGGATCTCCTGTATATGGGCCTACTCATTATCAGAAATTAAACCGGCAACAGCAAACTTGAGTCTGAAATAAAGCAATTCTGTACGGTGGTGCTACTGTCAGCACCAACTGCTATAAAGTAGTTCACTTTCATATCATTATTGTAAAGCCAATTGGTCCATCTGCATTGCCCTATTTTTGACTGACGAGCTGGCCGAGGAAGCCATTGAACACCAAGAGCTGAAGAGATCCACACCTCAGCTGAAGAATCTCCTAACAGGAAAAATATTACACATATCTGGGCTTCCCTGCAAACATGGCAAGACAGACATTGTGGAAGGAAAGCTATAAGATGAATATGATAGAAGATGCCCTGGACAGAAGACTGAACTTTTTATCCTACATTTCAGACACAGGAAACTTGGATAGAGCTGATGATGATGTGGCTGGAGATGAATTAAGGGCACTAATAATAAAAAAAAAAAAAATCTGCCTTTGAGGCAAAAAAAAAGCTCTGGTATTTAGTGAGGAGCTTTAAAAACCCAGAGCTGCAATGGAATTGCCTAGAGCAGGGGTCTATAACTCCCACTGTCCTGCATTATCCAGATGTGTCTCCAGCACATAAATCAAACCATTGCTGTCATGAAGGGCTACATAGGTCTGCTAATCACCAATTTATTTAAGTCAAATGTGGAGGCAATGGAACACTTAAAAGATCCAGGACAGTTGGTCCCAATGCTGTTAGGTTGTGTGGAGGTTGTAGAGGACCCAAATGCAGAGATGAGGGGGAGAGATACTTGTAGCTGATTTAACTGAGGTTCCAGTGGCTACAGAGATAAAAATCTAGGAACAAAATAAGAAACCAAAAACATGAGATGCCAGGGAGAAAGAACACATGGGGAGCAAGCGATGAAGCAACAAAGCAACAAAAAACCAGATGAGGAACACAGAGGTGCTGTATATATCGGGAACAGAACAAAGACTGGGCTAATAAGTTGATATGGAACAGGTTTGGATAGAAGTAACTAGAAGGGAGCCAAGGGGAAAGGAAACAGGCACAAGGGGGCAACAGAGAGTAACACAAAAACACAACACTGCCAGAAAACAACTACAAAGACATAAAATTACATAGAAACTAAAAATAAACCTAAATAAAGGACAGAACCCTGACAGTTGAACAGTATTTACAATGATCAATTTTCTAGAAAGACCAAGTCAAATACCAGACCTAAATCCAATTGAGATTCTTTGGGAAGCCTTGGAAATTGAAGCTCAGGGACTGGGCTTAGGCTACAGGAGCTCAATGGAGCCAAAAAGCTCAACATCTGCCACAGGGAGGGGGTTTCAATTTGACATGTGGAAGCAACACTTATTAAATCTGTGTTAGTGTAACAAATTTAAAGGCATTGTTTTAGGTTCCTCTATCTTTCCATCTGTGAGTTTTCTGTTAGTCCATGACATAACACTGCATTACAATTGAAACTTCAGATTTTAGCATTAAAGAACATTGGAGAAAAAAAAGCAACTGCTTTTGGCATATACTTAATCATATTTAGTTACTTTAACACAATTGTTTCATGTTAGCAGGGTAGGAAATATAGGGCAGCATAACTATCTCTATAGCTATGCTGCTATAGGCTTAGACTTCTGGAGGACATAGGGCCGTCCATTTCCTCATTTTGCTTCATTCTGTCTCTATTCTCCCAATCTGCAGAATCTGTTAGTTCAATCTCTAACGTTCTGCTCTCGCTGCTTTTTCTCATAGTAGCTTTGCCTTGTCTGTTCCTGTTTGGCTGTGAGATCATCCTGGAGAGAAATATCAGCTGTGCTGCTTCCATCAACACCCTTGTTTATAGATGCTGGAGATCGGCCTGTTTTTCCAGTGTAGTCCTGTTTCTCGGACTGTGACTGGCTGGATGTGCTCTCTTCATCCTCTGACATGGGAGTTGGCTCGGAGCTTGTCTGCCTGGCTTTGTGTTTCCTGGATGGAGCCGCCTTTTACTGCAACTTTTTGTATCTCTGCTTCTGTCTCCTTGAACCCCAGTTGGCCTCGACAGATTGCTGCTCACACTGAGCCTGGTTCTATTCGAGGTTTCTTCCTGTTAAAAGGGATTTTTCCTCTCCACTGTCACTACAAGCATGCTTAGTGTGAGGGATTGCATTTGAGTCAATGAGTCAATGCAATCAACTGGTTTTCCTTAGAAAGAAAACTGAATCAATTTGACTGTATGATCTGGTTGAACTGTAAAGTGCCCTGAGATGACTTGTGTTGTGAATTGGCGCTATAGAAATAAACAGGATTGAATTGAAAAAAGTGGTTGCATTTTTGTCAGAGAACGTTAAAATGTTCGAGAGGTTAAATGCTTTTACAAGGCAGTGAAATCTTTTTTTATGCTGCAAAACAATGGAACTGTACATGGTAGCCTATTTGATACAAATATGTGCAGCTGTTTTTAACCCTATATCCATCTGTTTATTTGTTTGTTTGTTTTTTGATCGTACTAATTATTTTGCAACTGAATTATTTGAGTTTTCAAGCTATTTTTTCCAGTATAGCTGTTGGCTTTGTTTGGCACACTTTCTTAATCCGTTTCAGTCTCATGGTTTGATGGCGTTAGGAATGTGCACACAGTCAGCCATCAGACAAAAAGCCCTTCCACAGTCACTCTTCTAATCCTGCACACACGTTACATAAAGCGGCCATCCATCCAACCCCACGTCAGGCAGAGAAACAACTAAAGCCGCTTTTTGTGGGGTTATAAACTTCGGCTGCATGACCAGACTCAACTCCATCACCATGATCTTCATCTTGGACTTGCTGCTGTTTCTCATCGATGTGACCTACTCTATCCTGTGCGCCGTGACGCGCGCCTTCCTCCATCCCCGCTTGAAGAGCGTTGATGGGGAGCTTTGTCTGATCACCGGAGCCGGGGGGGTTTTGGGTCGACTTTTCGCCCTGGAGTTTGCCAAAGAAGGGGCACACCTCGTCTTGTGGGACTGCAACACAGGTGCAAACGAACAGACCGCAGAACTGGCCCGGGAGCTGGGTGTGGATGTGCGCACCTACACCGTGGACCTGTCCAAGCGCCAGAACATCTATGAGGCAGCGGAGAGGGTGAGAGCGGAGGTCGGGGATGTGTCCATCCTGGTCAACAATGCTGGAGTGGTGGCCGGACGGAGGCTGCTGGACTGTCCTGACGAGCTTCTGGAGAGGACTCTACTGGTCAACTGTCATGCGCTATTTTGGGTAATCCTTCTTACGTCTTTTGTGCGTGAAACTGTGAAACTTGACTCAGAGTAAACACAACATGACATGGATTATGTAAGAGTGTCTCACTGGTGGCTCAGTTTAGCGTTAGAGTGAAGGGATCAGAGCAGTGCGTACAGCCTGGGTTGGTACAGCATGTTCTGATTCTAAGATAAAGTCCAATTAATTAGGTTCTGCCTGATATATAAACAGAAAGCTGCAATTAAAATTCGCTTCATATACCCAAAAGAGTAAGGTGGTTACCAAGTCATTCATTAAACATGTGATTTTACTCCTCAATTTCCTAATTTTAACTAAATTAACAGAGCAAACTGTTAAGGGAAAATAAGAGCTGAAGGCTTGGAGAGGAGGGGAGTATTAGGCCTAATGGGTTTTTCACATCAGAGATATGAACCTAAATCATTTTTTTTCCTAAGCTTCAAACAGCCATTGCTGCTTCTGATGTCTAATAGATTCACTCACTCAAGATTTTTTTTATGTAATCATAATGAGTTAACTATTTGAGTCACTTATTACTTATTTTAACTTATTTATTTTATTGTTTTCATTTTTAACTTTTAGTCTTATAGCTAGTAAAGCTCAAAATTTCAGAATTAGAGTCTAAATATAAAACTAGAGGAGCAGGATCCAGAGCCGGTTTGACCCTGAACTGGTTTAGGTGCAATTAGTTTTCAGCCACTCTCCAGAGACCATTGGTCCCTGCCTTGAACAACTCTGTGAAAAGTTCCTGGAACCACCATTGAGAACATAAAATACATATATACAGTGGCTTGGCAGGAAAATGGATGGAGTGAGACAGACAAGAGATGCTTATACAGTCTACAGATCCGTGAGGCATGCATAAGTCATAAGATCTGTCACCCAATCCAATACAATGAATTGCAAGATAGAAAATTGAGAAACTAAAAAGTTTGTCCCTATCTGCTGTTTCGTGTATGCACCCAATACCTGCAAGGGGGTTATTTCTAATGAATTGCTGCATAAATGCTGCATGGAGCTGATCAGCTGATGTTAGTGTTCAGGAAATCAGGTTCCTCCATCATTGGCCTGCAGTTATATTTGTCTCTCATTTTCCAACTAGCAGATGTGGGGTTTCTGTCCAGTGTTGCACAATAGCAAAACACCTCATCAAACATGTCTGACAGAAAGCAACTGATAACACAGCACCCCAGTTACCAGAGGCATACCCAGAAAATTTTTATTAGGGGTGGCCAGTCAATAACCAATGTACACTCAGGGGTGGCTGAGAACGGATAGGCGCCAGAACCTCACAGTCAATCTACACTGTTCCAACAGGAACGAGCACAACTTCCATATTATCTACCGGTAAATAAAGACAAACTATACTTTCCTACAGCCTTTCCTAATAAAGACACATATATTAAAACATCATGTCTAAATAAAAGGTATAGTGGACAAAACTTCTGGGGTGAACATCTTTAACATTGTTATTACTTACCTACTTTTATCACATTTTTTTTCTGCATACAATTTATTAATATTTATACGTACTAATATCTACATTAAAAGGATTTCTAAGTTATTGTTAAAGTAGTTATTTATCTATGACTAGATGACTTGCATAGACACATCATTTTCTCTTTACCCCATATAACATCAAATTTAGTTCTAAAAGGGCATGAATTCTGTATATTTCAACTTTAATGTTAGTATTTTGATATGCATAATTAACCACAGCACTTTAGTTGTCAGGTAATTGTTAATATTAAAAAATGTAAATGCTTAATAAGTTTGAACATTCCCCTTAAAGGGGAACACTGTTTTTTTTACATTAGCCCCTTGATTTTAAGTTATTACATCATGTTCTACTTACCCATATTAGTTTTGTGTCATTTGGAGCTGTTCTGAAGATATTCTGTTTTGTAATCCAAGTAACGTCTTCCTATGGGCAACGAGTTGAAGGCACAAACTAAACTGTTCATAATTTATTATTTATGGTACGCCAGCATTCATAACATGTAGGCTTTTAGGCCCCTGGCATTAATAGGTGACATTTAAGAGATTCCTCACCACATTTTTTAAAGTTTTAATCACAAAATTATCTATCCTGAACAGATGACAAAAGCCTTCTTGCCACAAATGAAATCAAGGAACCATGGCCACATTGTCACCATTGCAAGCGCACTTGGACTGTTCACCACAGCGTGTGTAGAGGTATGTGGCACGACACCCATTACCCCCCTCCCCAAAATAAAGCCTGACCATTATAAAAGCACACCAAGTGGCCTGAACAGTTCTACTCTCTTGCAGGATTACTGTGCCAGTAAGTTTGGTGCTGTTGGTTTCCACGAATCACTAGCACATGAACTGCGAGCAGAAAACAACGATGGCATCAAAACCACTTTAGTGTGCCCCTACATTGTTGACACAGGGATGTTTGCAGGCTGTGAGATCAGGTGAGATGCTGCGGGACATCTTTCAGCCCATCTGACAGGTTGCATTAGAACTTTTTTTTTTTTTTGCAAACCTTCCAGGAAAGAGATTCAGAGTTTGATTCCTCCACTTGAGCCTCTCTATACGGTGCAGCAGTCCATGAAAGCCATATTAGGAGAGCAAGAGATGGTCTGCATTCCTCGTATAATGTACATCCCCTTCATCGCAAGAGCGTGAGTAGGCTACTTATTAGACATGAGAAACGGCCATGGCCATTTGGATTAAATATTGACTTGTATCGTATATTTTACAGGGTGCTGCCTTGGGAGGCCAACGTTGTGACGTATCGCTTCATGGGAGGTGATAGATGTATGCTGCCATTCATCAAGAACACTGAGACGAAGACATCAAATGGCCACATGAAATCCCCCTGAGTCTTTTGTGTTTTTGAATGGAATTAAGTAAATGCCAAGGATTGTGTTAAGGATTTTATGATAGTTTCCTATTAAAGGTGTATATAAAGATTTAAAATAAATTTAGCAGAAACTTGGTCTTTTTCAAAAAAAAACATAACTTTCTTTTAAATAGATTTTCTCAGACTGTACTTCCTAAGGAGTATCAGGTCCTTCAGTGTTTGCAGCAAGATGTTACATATGTTGTATAAGTCTATTGTGAAGAGTGTGATCACTTCTGGCATATTCTGCTGGGGTAATGGCATTAGAGCAAATTACTGAAACAAGCTCAACTCCTCAAGAACTCCTCTAGAACCTCTGGAGATGATTTTACAATGAATAAGTCATAAAATGAAGAACATTTTGGATACAGTGTACATCCTCTTCAGAATGTGTTACACAACAACAGTCTTTATACAAGCTGGAGGATCCTTCCTGCCTGCAGGTATGCACATCTAGAACTCTGTAAAAAAACCACATCACATTTTCCTCTGGGACCAATGTGTGTTTGAATTGAATATCTTCTGCTGGTGATGACCTGCTTTACAGCTATCTACTAGGATTTGTTTCAGCACGTTATGCTTCCTTCTCCTGACAAAAGGTTATGTAGATTATTTAATTTTCCAGTAGAAGCTGATAGCCACCTACGCTGGCAAGGGTACCAAAACTGGTTCCCATGGTGTTACCGTCTGAACAGTGAACTGGCATGAACCTTAGAACAGCTAAAATGAGCTAAAGCACAGTTTGGAAGCAACATGGCCTTTCTTTAAACTTCAGAACCAAAGGATGATCTGAATGTCTCAATGCATTTCTGATTTAAATCATGTAAAAGGATGGAGTGCTTTTTAGAAGCTTGGCATTTCAGTTTAACAAGATGTTTAGGATCATTATGAAATATCGTAATAAACTGAATTTTGGGTTTTCATTATGTCAGCAAATAATCAACCCTAACCCAAGAAATTTGGGCTTGTAAAATTTCAGCAATGGTTTCACTTAACGACATTTCAAAGATTTTGACTACCTTTAATATTCATAATTTTATTGAACCAGTAAACATACAGGTTGTATTTTCACGTTATGGTGCAATAAGACATTTTTCCTCAAAAGATGCTTGACTTATACACAAGACTAAAAACGGAATTATTGGTTAAATAGAATACAAAGCAGATTACTTCAAAAATATTTTTATAATAAAGTTGAATAAGAACCCAGTTTAGAAGTAAAACAGCACTAGTGACAGATGTACACAAGTGTGTCTCTTTATTCACATGACAAAGTGTTGAAAACAAAAGCACAAGACTGCAACAAATGGGAGGAACACATGCAACAGAAACAAAGGACAGATGTGTGATCAGAGTGAAGTCACTATGATCAAGAACCAATGCCAACCAACAAAACTGTTAATAAGGAAATCTCTTCACTTCTGTTCTAATACTCTTCAATTCAAATTTGTTATGTTACCAGTGCATGGACACCAACCTAAATTCCTGTTGACATTACCAAAGAGGATAAATTTTGCTTTGCCACCATTTGGTCGTCTTTAAAAACACTTAAAACGTTTTCTTATGAAAAGACCTCCCATTTTCAGGCAAAATCCTGCTGTTTATTTTTTAATCCATCATGGAGTCATGATCTCAGCTGTAATTGATCTGTGAGCTGACTAGGGCTAACTGTGTCTGCAGCATTTGCATAGTCATCCGCATCTTTGTTTTAAACCAGCTGCACATTCGCTGCCTGCAAATATCCCTGCAGAAACTTCAGGGCATCCGCATTCAGACTGGTGCTCAGCATGGAGGGAACCTGTGCCAAAAACAGACACAAGGGGGCAACATTTGCATTAATTGTCATACATGATGCACTTCAGAAATAGCTTTTCTTACTTCCAGTAGAGGATTCCTACACATTTTACTATCTAAAAATGACATAGTGGTCCAAATTTTGTTTTTCCGAGTCCTTTGTTCAGTTTAAAATATGAAATATTCAGTGACCTGGGTGGGCTAAATGGGGTTACTTTGTACGGGTCAATTTTTTGTATATTATTTAATGCCTGTGTTTGGCAAATGCATTTTTGTATTCACAGACTGTATGTGTAAAAGGACAAAAAAAACAACAACAAAGACAATGATTAAAATATGAAATATTAATGATCAAAGTATGAGAACCATTTTATTCCTAAAATATGAATCCACACATTAAGTTTCAAATATGAAAAAAAAAGAAAGCAAGGAAGGAGGGTACATGGAGGAAAAAAGAATGGACAACAGGAAGGAAGAAAGATGGAGGTAAATATAAGACAAATGGTATCAGGAAAAAAGAAAGGAAGGCTGCAAGAAAGAAAAAGACAGGAAGGAGGAATCACCCAGAGGGAATGTGGATACCCTAGGTAGAGAGAAAAAAACAGATCCAATAGTTATCTGGAAATTATAATAATTAGTATTCACAGCTTCCTGTTGGAGGGAAACACCCACACTGAGGATGCTAAAGGTCACAAAGGGTTAAAGGAATCAATCTTGATATAGCAAGAAGAATCATAGACAATGAACTGGAACATACCCTTCCAGGACAGGCAGTTGAAAGCTTGTGAAGCGACTGGGCCAACAGGATCTTTGGGTTGCCAACCGCATCTCCAATTGGATCGTGTTCCTTCCTTCCAGCGAAGGCGAGCTGTGAGAAGGCTGTCTGATAGCCTGGGGCGTCTTCTATGTCAATGAAGTGCTCGTCGTCTGGGATGCTGTCATCTTCTGGTAACTCAAACAGGCCAATAAGAGCCTGGAGCAGAGGGGTCCTAAGCAAATATATTCAAAATGAGCCATTTTAATAGTTCAATACGTTGTTTTTCCTGGAATCTGCCTTTAGTACACAACAAAAAAGTAACTCACTATAACTGAGGCACTTTCTGATAATATGCCCAGTGGCAGGAGGGAGGGGGATTTGACCATGTTAGCATGCAACATGGTGTTATATTTGTGCCACTAACCAGAGGGCAAAAATTTATGTGAATAATCTATGTGCATCTCACACACGCTCCCTCATCAAGTCTTCTGAGCGAACAAGCTGACAGCAGCAGCAGCCAATCCATTTACTATTCCTAATGTTAGTGAACTGCTCAAAACTTAAGCCGGGCATACATTGTGTGATATTTTCAATTGTTGCACGCAGCTACAGCTCAAAATGTACGATGAAACAGCAGGGTTTAAAAGTTCACAGATCATGATGAATTTTCTCACACTGTGCAGCTCGACGCACTGATGCGATCTACCTGCTCACATTGCACTTCCAAAAACCACACGTCAGAAACAGCGCCAAGAGATGGTGCTGGTTGCATTAGTCAATCTGAAAGAACTCGCTTGTATGCATGTGCACAGTGCTTTAGGTTCTGGTAAATCGACTCGTAGACACTAGTAGCTCTGCTTCCAACAGCAGGATTTGTCCACGAAGACCTCACGACGGCCGATTGAATTTCAAACATGTTTGATTTGCTCCTGACCTTCTGATTCCTGATCGGGGGGTTGTGAGAGGCTAATCGCCCCTCGTTAACCCCTGTATACTACGCGAAGCAGGACGCAAGATGAGCCTGAAACCCTGCCCAAAAAATTCTCGCACAACTGGAGAATCAGCCTAAAATAGGCAAAAAAATAAAAATAAAAAAAATCATTCAGTGTATAACCGGCTTTAGAAGAAAACAAAAAAAACCTCTTAAATCATGAATAAAGATGACCTTTTTTTATAATGTTAAGATAACAGTAAATTAAACATGTTTACAAAAGGCACAAAACTGATTATATACTTTTTTTTTTGTCTGACCTATTCCTGGTGAATCCATGAATAAAAGCAGTTCAGTGTGATGAACAGTAAAGTTACATTACTGTATACTGCGCTACAGTGACATACCCATTTAGTTCATGAAGTTTTGTGTTAAAGAACTTTAAAGGATCCATTTAAAGGGGACATCAGAGGACTAGATCACTGGGATGACAGCTATAATTCAAGGTACACTTTAGTCGAAGCTAGCTCTTACCATAGCTTTGTGTACTCTGTATCCATCATGGCGGGGCACTCCGTGAGGATTTTTATAATGCCCACAGCACAGATCTTCTTCTCCACTGCTCCAGACACCTTCTGAACCTCTGGAATAATGATTTTCTCCAACACCATCCCAAACATTCTGCGGATCAAAAACGTTAAAATAGTCAAATGCAAAAACGTATCAATTCAGTCAAATAAAAACTATACAAAATCGAGATACTACAATTCAGCATTCTACCGCTATAAAGGTAGAATGCCGCGGGGCAGATTTTATTTTGAAATCCAGCATACAGAATAACAGTTACTAACAGCACATTTCAAAAAGCAGCATTTATGTGTAAAATGTAAGATTAGTGCTGCTTTAAAGTGACCAATTGTTTATATTGTAAAAAAAAAAAAAAAAAGAAGTTGCGTACTTTGTCTGAATGCTGTCGAAGATCTCCTGAAGTGCAATGGCTCCATATTTGGCACAATATAAATTCACAAACACCAAAAAACCTTTGAGGACAGAAACAAAAATATTTATTTTAGGCTGCATTACGAACATCTTCGATTAAAAGAAATAAATGAAATGATCTAGATCACTGCTGTACAGTTAATATCAATTACATTCAGCTGAGGCACCTCTGAAATACTGAAACTTAAGTCAGTCCAAAACAATGAAACTCATAAAAGTGACTTAGAAATTTTACTTAAGTCTTTTTCCTTTTCTTTTAAATGTAAACCTTTTCAAATACTTTAGAGCTGAAAATATGGTTTTGTGTTTATATTTCAGAGTTTGTCTTTTTTCTGTGATGAGAATCTCCTTTTTTAGTGGGATGTTGTTATTCACGCATTTGCTAGGCTAACCGTTAACATTTATTAAAAATGCTTTACTAGTTTTGACACAATGCACTTCTTTTTAGGTAACCTTGGTTCCCAAAGAGTTTCATAAAAACTGTTATATTCAAATAAAATCAAATAACGCCAGTCTTCTATTACTGCTAAAACTATTATTGTAGTGTTCACCCTTTTTCTTTTTTTTTTTTTATTTCCATGTATTATGCAGGGTAACAAATTAAGTCCCCTAAATGTATTTTCATATTTTTTTTTGCACATTTTATCGCATTACAAAAGTTTGATAGAAACAAAATGTAAATCAATACATTTCTCAAAAAAGTTTTTACATTGCTTGTGATGATTTGTGATTGGCATGTACATCATTAACACATTCTGATGTGATCAAGTAAAACTTAAAACCTCCTGTTCTGCAGTCTGTGCTCATCTAACCACCTCTGCTTCCTGTGCATTACAGCCAACTGTAACTTCAATAATAACTACATTACAAATATTCACATATCAAATAAAACACATTTTGCATTTTTTTCAGCTTTTTAAAATTCTCATGAAATTTGGATGGAAACCTGGCTTGTGTGATAAAGCTCTGTTGCATCACACCTTAAACCTCTTCATACTTTAAAGTTAGAGGCACATTTAAAAGCATGTAAGAATTAAAGTGTATCAAATTGTAAACTACAGCAGACAGTTGGACCAACTAGTTTTTAATTGGTACTAGAGTGAAAGGTACACAGTAGCATGCAAAGCTATTTTATTGCACGTTCTGGGATTTCAAACAAAGCAAATCACTGCATACAGTGAGGACAATAAGTATTGGAACAATTCCACCAACTCTGTTTGGAGAAAGAAGTAAGAATAGTACCATCCCAAGAACAACATGAATACTGCAAAGAATGGGGGTGGTAGCATCATGCTTTGGGTAATTTTTTCTGCACATGGGACGGGTGACCGCACTGTATTAATGAGAGGATGACCGGGGCCACATATTGCGAGATTCTGTGGAAGAACCTCCTTCCCTCAGGCACAGCATTGAAGATGGGTCGAGGCTGGGTCTTCCCCTATGACAATTAGCCAAAGCTTACAGCCAGGATAACCAAGGAGTGGCTCTGGAAGAAGCATATCAAGGTTCTGGCACGGCCTGGTCAGTCTCCAGACCTAAACCCTATTGAGAACCTTTGGAGGGAGCTTAAACTCAATGTTTCTCAGCGAAAGCCCAGAAACCTGACTGATCTAGAGAAGATCTGTGTGGAGGAGTGGGACAAAATCCCTTCTCCAGTGTGTGCAAACATTAACAGTGATTTTCTCAGGTGTTTAAATACTTATTTGCAGCTGTATCATAAAGATAGTTTAAAAAAAATACATTTTGATTTCTGGAATTTTTTTTTTCTTTTCTTTTTTTAGGTTATGTCCCTCACAGTGGACAGGCAACAACAATGACAATTTCAGACCTGTCTGTGATTTCCAAGAGGAAGAACTTGCAAAATAGAAGGGTTTTCAAGAACTTATTTTCCTCACTGTATAGCTGTTCAAATTGCCATTATAATAAAAGTTAGAAAATATAAAAATCAAAGAAAATGGCATTGACAATCCAGATACTCACTTTTAATAAACTTTGTAGTTTTAGAGTTCTGGAGCCGCTGGAAGAGCAAGATAAAGATCTGTCTCCTGTACTGAGTGATGGACTCCCTGGAAAAGCAACACAAAAACATTTGAGTAACAAAAACCATTCTGCTTATTATGTTAGGAATTAAAAGCGGATCAAAGAACCCTGGGAGGCTTACGGGGGCATGTTCTCTATGATGCTGTTGAGGAGATAAAATCCCTGATGGTCATTGGCCTTGGAGGCAATGAGCTTCTGGAAAACTCCAAGCAATCCAGGCTGAGATGGAAAAGTGCGAGAATAAGTGGAATAGAGAAACTTTAGTATACATCTACAATCAACTAAATATAAACAGCATTTTCCTTCTTAGAGTTTGGTCCATATGCCTTTAACAAAAACATGGCAGGCAAATGGATTTAAAAAAAAAAAAAATTCTAGAAGCTACTTACAATTTTGTCAGCTGCTGAAGTAGCGATAGCTGCCCCTCCCTTCTCTAGGTAAGCTTGCAGCAGACGCACAAGAGGAGGTATATTCCCCGTGCGTTCCCACAGTATGGGCTGGAGCAGGTGGGGGAACAAAGCCATGTAGGAAGCAGGAATAGAGTTGGAGTGGATCTCAAGGAGAAGAGACATCACCTGGAACACATATGGAAGAAACTCTACAAAAGAAACAAACAAGAGTCAGTCCCCTTATTGCATTAACACATCACGAACATCAGGAGGGTTTGACGCACAACTAAAATACCTTGAACGTCGTTCTGAAGGATTTCTGTAAAGACGGGGAAAAGAGCCTCCTCAAAGCTGCTGACTGTGGCAGGGTTAGCCTTGCAGGTGATCCGCACAGACAGGCACAGAGACTCAAACAGGTAGTGATTAAAATGAGGCTTGCTGGGATTCTGGGAGAAAAAAAAACAAACAAACAAACCCATAATTGAGACAAATAACCCAGAGGAAATGTGACAAATCTATTTCTACTCAAAAAAAAAAAAAACAACAACAAAAAACTGTTACCTTGCTGACCAAGAGGAGTTTATGAGTGAGCTGACCAATCAGAGAGGGAATGTAAGGAACTATGGCCTCCTGGAGCAGGGAGAAGCTGCGCATGATGGCTTCAGGGATGAAGGCAAACAAACTTTAGTTTGCTGTTAACTTTCAACTTATAACACAGAGGAAAGAAACAGATGATTACCTTTCATGATATACTCATTTTCTGCAGAACCAGGAAGACTCAGTGCTTTGAAGAGGTTGGTGAGCAGCTGCTCAGTAAAAGGTGCCATCTCTGCTGAAGTGATACTAAAAGAAGATTTACGTTAGAAATCTCCCAGTCCCAGCTAAGAAAATGCACACTGAAAGAATACTGTGAAAATGATTAACTAGAAAGTATTCAATCATTGTCATTTTAAGCCAAGATGGTGGAAATACTAAAAATGTTACAGTCTGCCTAGTTAAGAACATCATATTGCACCAACTGGGGTGTGAATCGGTTCCTCATTATTGTTTGAAACTTACAGTGTTGCGTTATTGGGGCCTCTCATTGTGAACAGCCTCTCCAATGCATGCGCAGCATAAGTGTGTTCAACTGTGCTCTCCGCCTGCAGGTGTGTTATCAGGAGAGGAACTGCCTGCAGCAACTGCTCCTTAGGAAGCTGGAGGGAAGGAAACGAGGAATCTTAAAGTGAGGAATTCAATTTTCATTTAAAACACTAAACAAGTTATGGAGAAACAGAGGTTTCATACCTGACTTCGGAAGATCATAACATACTTGATTGCATCCGCCTTCAGCACTGGGAACTCGTTAACTGCAGGGAGATTATAAACATGATTGAGCTTTTTCAAAATAATCATTTTTAACACATCAGTATTTAATTACTCAAATAATTGCTTCTGCTACAATCCTTCCAAGTTGATATGGTAGTTACTTTATCAAGACCCGTAGTCCCATAATGGCCCATTGTTAATGTACAGTAGTAGCCCTTTATTCCCAAATGGGATGGGTTAAACTCTGAATCAAATTTCATTCTGATGCATTATTACCACAGGAAGCTAGAAGACAGCTGCAAGATTAAAAACGTAAGCCTCACTTTTATAATTTGGTTAACTGCAATAGAATTATGAAACAATTTTTTTTTTTTTTAGAGAAGTCTATCCCCAGCCCTGCTTTGCTAATTAAAGCAATAAAAACACCAGGTAAATATTACAGTGCATACTAATGTTGGCTTGAAATGTAAGGCTGCATATGTTTTCACTCCATGAACTACAACAGATCAATACAAGTCAATCAGTGCATCAAACACACAGAGTTCTACTGGTGTATAGGGCTGCGGATATCGATCCTTTTAGTAATCCAGGGCTGAAACAATTAATCTGATTAATCAATTATTGAAAGAATCAACTAATTTTGTAATCGATCAATCGTTAAAAAGAGTATAGAGACTTCGAAACATGCTTTTAGCTGACAGACGATCCACTTGAAGCAGTATATGCTTTATCCACAACTCGTCAAGTGGAAAAGTTTTAGTTTCACCTGGTTTAATTACGTAAAAAGTCTTCTTTAAGGAAGTTTGGCTGTCCGATTAGTAACAGATTCATCTAAAAATAATCAACAGGTTTATTCTGGTTCATTCTATTTATAAAAAGTTATCACCATTTGTATAAGTTGTAAATGGAATATAAGCAATATAAGATACATATACCTATTCATGTAATACAAAAATAGCATAAATATTTTTTTTTTTTTTACATAAGTTTTGTCCTAATGGCTGGTGTAAATAGGTTATCCTTTCAGCAAATGGCATGTTTTAGAGTGATTAATATAGGTTAGGATTTTATGATCAAGTTGGCTGACTGTTACTTTAATATTTAATCACAATAACCAAATTCATTTCCTAAGCCCTCCTTATGTGCATCAATCCAGCATTGGTCTCCAGCCTCTGAAAGGTTTATTAGAAACTACTTAATTGGGACCTTAAGATATGCAACAGGTGCTGCTCTGCAAAACCTGAAGGAAGACACTTCTAATATGCTCCTTAAAAATGTAAACAATAGTAATGAAATAATACATTATAGCAAACTATGGCCTAAATCATATTATTGGTCATGAAATCAGTGTCAGTTTAGTGATTTTAAATGCCCAACAGGTGTCAGTATTCAGTGACACAGTATCGATATGGTGTATATATGTCTGAATGCTTCATGACGCCTCATGAACCAGTCACTTATTTCAACATAACCCAACAAGAAAATTCTTTGTCGTTCCAAACATCAAGAGAAGTCTTACCATTGGATGATTTTAAATCGGGGAGAATATGGTTCACAAAGAATTCAGTCAGATTCACCAGTTCATTGGCTTGTGTAATTCCATGCTGTTAAAATACAAACAAAAATGTAAACAAATCAACATAAAGCATAATGAACCCTTTAAAACTTCCAGGACTTTTGTTTACCTTCTGCGTCTGGGCTTTGGATGCCAGCGATGTGACCAGATAGATGGCTGCATCTTTGTGTTTCCAGTTCTGCCCGGGGTTCTTAGCATATTCTGTAAGCATCGAGTTCACATAGCCAGAGAAGATGGCTGTGACTGGCCCCTCAAAAAACTTACAGAGGCCCCTCACCAAGTCGCATGCTGCCCTGCGGCGAGTGTCAATGTCTGAAGGAAGCAAACAAAGAGGTTTCTTTTTAACCAGAGGCATTAATACATAAATATGATGACCCAACAGCAAATAAAGTTAGCATCTTTTAAATGGAAGCCTCTAAATAAATGAGCATCGTTTATGTGCATTACTATACTGTCTAAAATCATTGAAAATACAACATTTCAATATTGTCATTAAGATTAGTTATTTAAACAATCTCAAAATTTACCAGATCCCTCAAGATCTCTCCGGATGTATTCCTCAGAGTTATCTTCAAAAGCCTCCTCATCTGCACCTGTAGTTAGACAGACAGCAATCTAGTTGGTGCCACTACAGAGATAAACATGGATCAGACCTCAGAACAGCAGAGGACATCTGAGCGCTTACTTCTGAACTCCATGTTGGGCACAATGACCTTCTCACAGATGCTGGTGAGTGTGTTCTGGTCCTCGAACAGATGCTTGTAGTGCGGCCTTTCACAAACTGATGCTAAAAACTGGATAGCATTGCTTACAAGCTGGGGAGGGGGTGGGTGTATTGTTATTGGTTTGTGCAAACAGTAAGATAATTTGAATATATATATATATATATATATATATATATATATATATATATATATATATAAAAAAAAATTTGTAGTAGAAATAAAAAGCCCACTTGTCTCACCAGGTCATATTTGACTTCCTGGCCGGTGGAGACCAGAAGGCCCCAGATTGCAGTAACAAAGCGTGGCAGGTACGGCTGAAACTCCTCATCGTACTTTTGAGCGTAAAGAGCCGCGTTGTCACAGATCTGAGACTTCAGCAGCTCCAGGAGACCAGCCTCCTCTTCATCCTAAGTCAAATAATTTAACATTTAAAATAAAAAAAATAAAAAATACATGCTTCCTGCAGTATGGAGAGGACGACGCACATCTGTTTGTAAAAGCTTATTGTCCAGAGTCAGAAGGCCGTGAAAGTTGGTCATCCAGGTTTCCATATTATCCTCAAAGAACTCTGGAAGGTCCTGTTGTAATAAAGTAGAGTTCAGTTACACACAGGTGGTTATGAATAACACTGCTTAGATCTATAACCTGCATGCTTCATTCTAATTGCCAAGAACTTCTAAATAATATTAAGCAAAATTCTTCAAACCCTTAAAATTATTTTTTTTTTTTTAACCATAAAGTTAATTGACAAATATAGTTTTTTGTGTTATTTCTTGGAATTTTATAAAAATGCCCCACACAAAGCAATGCATAATTGTGAAGATTAAGTAAAAGGACAAGTATTAATTTGACAAACAAATCTGACTGGTGTGGCCTTTATCTCTATTCCAAAGAGACCCCTTGTATTTCACTACAAGTCATGATGGGACAAGGCAAACACGTTTCAGGGGGTGAACACAACATCCCCATCCTGAAATAAGGTGGAGGGAGCATCATGTATGGAGGTGCTCAAAGTAGTAAGCCTGTTGAACCCTGCAAGAGACTTTAAACTGGACAAGAGATTCCCTAAACACACAGTTGGGTTATTGTATGGGTTGTTTGGTTGTATTTTATTATATTAATTATATTTTATTATAAAAAAAAAAATGAAATAGAAATGTAAATATACAGTCATGTGTTTATAGTACTGTTTTTTTATGCGTTTACTGTTTAAGGGTGCTCTTTAATAAAAATGAAATTGTCTAGAGAGCTGGTTTTAACAAAATT